ATTTTGAGTTATTATGCTGACGGGTAGGTGGTATTGAATAAGTATGGTAATTAGTTACTTCACTTCAAACAATCTACAGCTGTAACTGCCTGGCAACTTTAATTTAGTTAAGTCATGAACTTCCTGAGAAAACGATTAATTCAACTTTATATAAGTGTCAATATTGTTCTAAGAATAACTTATTAATTATCATCCGAGTACACGAACTGACCTGTACTATAAGGTCACTTTAGATTGCTTACAATTGTTACTTCATATAAAATCCCCCAAAATGATTTCATTAGTGTACTGAATATTACTTATCAGTACACTTCGGTTAAACTCTGAAACTTTCTACCTCATCGCCTTATCTTCAAGATGACCTGATATCAACCTCATAGAAGACAATGAAGTATTGATTTATTTATCCATCTAGATGAAGTCTATTTCACACACCCCTGAGTCTTTGATTTGAAGTCTGATCCACTCGACAGTGGAGCAACATCAAGAGCCAAGCTCCTGTGGTCGCCGGTAACGAAAACACGTTCATATGTCATTCGATCCGTTCGGATTCTGAAGCCCATGTGCACCATAGGTTTGGAATCAGGGGTTTCCAGCTCCCTTAGATAGACCAACTTGTCCACCCGTCCGGTTGTCAGTACCAGACATTTGGATTCGCCCTTTCACTTTTTGTAGGGAACATCCCGATATCATGAGGGCAGTGAATAGGATTCAAATGGCAGGGGATATGAACGCGCGGTCTCATGAGAGCATTTCTACTCACCCTCAATCATACCAGGTAGTTTATGGGGAGGTTGAAAGCATGCAGATGCCATTTGATTAAAATTAACTGATAACTCATATTTCTATGTATATGTTCAAGTAACTGAAAAAAATGTTAACTATATGTTACTTTTACCTAAAAGTCTAACAGTAGAGTAGAACAATTCATGTATTCCGTTTGAATCTGATGCATTATACTCAGAAAAAAGTCAATAATAAGTAGAAAACATCGTTAGTTTTTGTTCTAGTCTACGGCCAATTGATTATTTATGTTCGTTTCCTGTTCCAACATGTTAATCTATTATTATTTACCTAAAACGTAGGCTAAATAGTAGACTTAAAAACAGAATAAAGTAGAATGAAACTATACATGGATTAAAAGAAAACGGTTGAAATTCTATTTGATACATAGACAGATAAAATGACTGCCTTTCAGTGGTATACTTAGGATAATCCAGTTGACAGATGATCCTAATCAAAGTTGCCTATCCCTTTACATTACCACTAGTACACTACCGGTCTTTTTATGTAGCTAAATAAGTAATTTTAAATTATTGTAATAATTGCAAACCAGCACCATTCCAACGGCACCAATCACCATCAACGGGAGGGATTTGAAAGAGGTTACTTCATTCACTTATCTAGGGAGCATTGTCTCAACTACAGGAGGAACGGACGAGGATGTCAAATCGAAAGTCGGGCGAGAAACACATTCATCAACCTGAAACCAATCTGAAAATCTTCGTCACTCAGCATCAACAACAAAATTCGGATTTTCAATACAAACGTCAAGTCAGTTCTTCTATACGGATCAGAAACTTGGCCAGTGGGTCACAAAGAATATTTCCAACCGGTTGCAGACTTTTATCAACAGCTGTCTTCGTTCTATACTGAAGATCAGATGGCTGGAAAGAATCACCAACAAAAAACTATGGGAACAAACAAAACAAGAACCAATCGCTCAAGAAATATGCAGGAGAAAGTGGAGATGGATTGGACACTCGCTGAGGAGGCCGCTGGGTGACATCATTCCAACTACAAAGTGATACTAAGTCATTAAATGGTGAAAATCCACGACGCCTAGCCGAACTAATAAAAAATACCATAAAATTAGACAGTAAACACATTACCACCCACTCAGTCGTTTAGGATCAGATAGTATTTTTACCTTTCTGTCATTTACTATTTGACATTGACATTGTCAAAAACAATTGAGATTGAGCTGTCCTAAGACTTCACTTGGTTGTATTTACCATTCCAAATAATAGTTGCTAAATAATGGTAATTGTCATTTACCCTAGAGTGAAATGACAGATTCCATAAAGATGACTAGGTCTATGCTAAAAATAGCACTATGCGAAATAGTTGACATTCATAACAAAATTATATCACATTTGTTGATCGAAATCACATCACTGAATACAAAAATATACCTCTTACGTATATCAGTTCAAATTTTCAAAAACAAGTAACCTAAAAGTGAAGAGAGATGAAATCAAGAGTAGTACAGCAATACTCAAACGAATTTTCTACAAATTTTTGGTCAGTTTCAGTTTAGATTTAGTCATGAAGCGAAATCAATTAGAGGATCACTGAAAATCATGGAGTATTAGACAGGTGAATCGTTTTATTTTCGGGATCTTCATCAGTGTTCATCAACAAGCTCACCGGAAGTCGAATCTAGAACCTTTGACCACTCATTCACTAGGCTGTTCTCGTAACCTGAAAATCCTGGGTTCCACCTCTGGCTGGGTGGCTGGTGAACACAGCTAACGAGTAACAAACCAATTTTTTTGAAGAATGAATGACGAATAAGTTTTTTTCCCTTTTTTAACCAAGACAGTAGTAGAAACGTAGACACCAGCTCAGAGAACACAACTCAATCAAAATGTTGACACTAATTAAAACAAGATGGTTAATTCATTTATTGCCTTAAATATGAATATCAATCTTTTTTGCACTAGTCTTTCAAACAGATCTGAAAACAAAGGTGGAAAATTTCCTTTCGCGCGAATTATTTTCAAGCGCTGTACAAATGTATTTATTTTTACGAGTTGATCACGGATCGATATCAGTTAGAAAACCATTGAAAACCAGCAAGAAGTACTGCCAGACAGCTCTTTCATCCTAGTTTGGGGATCATCGTCAGTACGCACCCAGGACCTTCCGGTTACAAGGAAAGCTCGTATACCATTCAGCCACTGGGATCCGATTCAGTGCCCAACCCATGAATTCTAACTTCTATCAATTCGTGATTTAGCGCGACCACCAACCGATGTCTTCAGTGGGACATCCATCCTCACACTTGACTGGATGGACCTCACTGGTCACGACTTCTCACTAGAACTCCAGGAAACTCCGTCCTGTAGCAAGTCACTAGTGAGCATCAGATTAATTTTCTATAGTTGGTTTGTAAGGATTAGATTTGTTTTTACGAGTTGATCACGGATTGATATCAGTTAGAGAATGGTAAACTAGGTTGCTTGCCTTGTAACCTGAAGGTCTTGGGTCCGAACCCTGGCAGTGGGTGCGTACTGACGATGATTCTCAAACTAGGATGAAACAGCTGTCCAGTACTCCTTGCTGGTTTTCAATGGTTCTCTAACTGATATCAATCCGTGGTCAAACTCATAAAAACAAATCTAATCCTTACAAACCAACTATTGAAAATTGTATTTATATTTAACAAAGGATTCATAAAACCAAAGGTCAGTATGCCTAAAACTAACATGGACTGGATAGTTCATTAACTTCCAAAGCTTTATCTCACTGATCAAATAGGAAATCCTTTTACGTACATTATGCTCAGGAATTCAAAAATCTGCTCAGAAGATACACTAGACACTGAATTGAAATTTCTACGTGATACCTTTTTAGAAAACGGATTATCTACCTAGATTTATTCTGAAAAATATAAGAGGAAATCAGCTATCGGGAGTATTTCTAAGAAAACTCTCTTCATAAACAAGGAGTTCATAAATGACATCAAAGCAGAGATTTTTAGAAACCACCTTTCCAAGTGTTTGAAGAAGATATTTCAAGCAGCCATCTTACGAATCGGATTATCCAGCAGACAGTTAGTCCAGTCCTATTATTATCATTATTGTATCCTTTAATTCTCCGTTTTCATTCATTTCTCCGAGAGCTTCTCTACCCATGATGAGTTCCTTCCTGTGTTGTTTGATCCCAGTTTGGCGTTTATGTCCTGTACTAAGGACAAAATACCGCTTTTGCCCGCCACAATGTGTTATTACTATCATTTACTTGTTCCTGTGGAGCAGAAATATAGGCCGTACACAACGTCAAGTCCTCAAACGTATTTTGGTACACTCGTCAGCCTGGTTAACCAGTGGAAAATTCTGTCCATCAAATTTGAAAACACCTTTCGTCATATATTCTCGCTTAGACAAGTTTGATGTAGTATTAATTACCTTTTGTCTAACAGTTTGTATAATTTAAACCGATATTCACTCAGTCAGATTTATGTAAAATAAATGGAAACATCGATAGCTTGAATATACAGCAGTTATCTAGAAATTTATTTATTATATGAATTTCCGGAAACCTGATAAAGTGGTGTAAATCTGTTTCTAAGCTTTAACCTCCTTTTACGATTGTATAGCAACAAGAAAACGAAGCAATACTCCATAACTAAACGTATCTATAAGTAGTTAGCAAGCTGTCATACTTACTGTGTGGGGACTGATGACATCAACTGGCTATCCAAATCCACTGTTGGAACTCTTGACCCACTGACTGAAAGTTGAGCAGATAAACCAATTTAACCTGTGTAAAACTTATGGAACTAATATGTATACTCTGTAATTGTGTTATGTTGTAGATACAGGCCATGTGAATGTAGTGGACCAATTATCAAACGATGTATAAGAACTGAACCTGAATGATGAGACACTTAACTTGTACCCTTAGTCTGAGAGCCTAAATGTGTATCTCTTGCTATCATACTAATTCACTTTTGCCTGGCTTCATGTTCTTCCTGATGTGTTCTAGTATGTTGAGTCGGTTGGTTGATAAGTGTGTGATCTTTTCTGGTTTACAGGCGAAGCTATTCCTCGAGCTGTAGTTGTCATTACACCTGTTACATTGACAGAAGAGCTAATTTTTGATGTTACAATTTAGGTCGCTTGTAAACGGTCTTTTGAACGCATTCACCCCATTTGGGTTTATCTTGCTATATATTTTTTTTTCATATTTTATTTTATAAACTCGTAATCAATATCACCAATTGGCTTCAGTCACAGTTTATTGAATGCATTTGTTACACAATGAAGAGCAGATTCATCTATTGATTTTCCTCTCATTTACATAATAAATATTTACTGAGTTTACCTTCTAAATTGGAGAAGCAGTTATTTTATTAACAAAAGTATTAAACTAACATAGCACTTTGGGATGATATATGAAAATAAACGGATTTCCTAGAAGACTTATGCTAGCGAGCATTAACTGCCTTCGTGTTAAGCTGTATTTACCAGTGATATTGACGAAAGTGTTAGTCCGTTCTTAATGTTACGAAAAGCTTATTTTTGATAGTTACATCGCTCTTCCAACTAGCTGTTTGTCGAGTATGAGGAAACAAAATAGTCACTGATATTGTTTTTTGATCATGAAAAATAGCAAAAATGCAGCCAAGTCAGACTATTTTTAAATATATTCAGATCCACCAGAAAGACGATAAAGTGATATAGGAGCACAGTGGTTCGTATCCAAATAGAAAATAAACGCCTGAGAAATGATTTAATCCATTACACGAAGAGTTAACTTTCTCCATTGTTAATGAGAAATCTGCCTCATTCAGAAAAACCGATCAGTCCGGTATTTTACATGTCTAAACACGAGGTTCATGTAAAGGATTGGCATGTTGAGGTCAAACAAAAGACAGTCCATAAATTCTCTCACCCCACACTAGTATTACAGACTAGCCTACTCGTATGTGAACATAGATGAAACAAAGCCATGGTTTGCATGCTTTTTTTACGACCACATAATTCCAATTGGACAAAAATTATTTAGGTCAGGCTTTCAGCCCATGACTAACTTTTATCTGCCTCCTATTGGTTTAGAAAGTTCACCCCTGTTATGAATTGTCTGAAGTGAATTAGCAATCAAGGTCTTAACGAATTAACCAATCATATTGTAGATGAAAGTCTGAGTCATGTAAGACTAGTGGCTGCCATGCTGGATAAAGTTTATTGGGCAATGCCATTTTCACTTTGAATATCAGGCTAAAGCGGTTCACAGCTTATCACGCAATTTTTATAATAAGCTTGTACCTGGAATATGGGTGGAAGATCAGGAAAATTTGTTGTACCTCATACGGAAGAAAAGACAGGAGATAGTACCTCTAAACCGGTAAGTCCTCTTTTATAGCTGTTTGAGACTCATTTTTTATCATTACGCAGAAGTAGCTTGTACATTTATTAGGTTTATAATTACGAATAGGGTTATTTTACATCAACAGTCACAAGGGATATGCGATTTATGTAGACCTATAGTAGGTTGTGTAGTATTTAGAACTTTATTGTTTGCATTAATCTTAACCTGCATTTTATCTTTTGTGTTTGCGAATTCGTCAATTTTACGTACTTCGCATAGTTAGGAGTTAGTAAATTATTAATAGTTAATAACATGTAACAGTGTTTAGCATTGTGAGATGGAAGTACTGACACTTTCCGGTTAATGACGGGGATTCCACAGGACTTGATAGGGTTTCTCTTTTCACGGTGTTTAGCTCATACGAGTTGATCACGGACTGATATCAGTTAGAGAACCATTGAAAACCAGGGAGTACTGGACAGCTGCTGTTTCATCCTAGTTTGGGAATCATCGGCAGTACGCACCCGATGATTCCCAAACTAGGATGAAACAGCAGCTGTCCAGTACTCCCTGGTTTTCAATGGTTCTCTAACTGATATCAATCCGTGATCAACTCGTAAAACATAACTAATCCTTACAAACCAAACTATAGACAGTTTAGTTCATATACATTTCTGATGTCGATATTCATTTACCCTTAAAATATATGCTTTGTATAATATTTGCAGTAGTGTTACGTATTACTTATTATTAATGTTTCCTAACCAGATTTCTGCAGCAAACGTGATTACTTTTCTGCTGTCTAGAGTTAGGTTATGTACTTGAAAAATATCTGCCATAGATTCTATAATAAATTTATGTGCAGGTGGTAAACTTGAGCAAAGTATGCAGGATCTATAATTACATGCAAATCAGTGACAATGGAATTCTCCTATCCCAGTGAGTTGATGAAAATCAGTCGACAGTTGACATACCCTCTTTAAGACACATCTAACAGAATATCTACCCTCCACCTAAGGCGGATGTGGTGAAATATCCTTACGACATATAATGTCAAAGCCTTCGACTACTTCCTTCATCCATTGTTTTATGATCTAGCATAGGCATACTCGAGCTTTTCAACTTCATTGCTTCAAAATAGGATTGCATATCCATATTTGTCGTTTCTCTCCAGATCAGTACGAACTCATAAGCCTCAGTTTGATTTGAACCTAGTCTGGCAAAATCTTTACAAGTGTAGTCGGATTTGTGGCATGTTTCACCGTAGCTTTTTTTCAACTAATTCTGGAAAATATCCTATTTTGAAGTTTAATTCTAAGAAATGGTGTATCGAACATCTGAAACACTGTCAGTAATCCATATCTGTTTATGCGTATCAATGGACTACAGGCTTACACTTGTTAAGTAGTGAGGTTGTTTTTAACTTTGTTTTAACGTGTAGATTCAAATCTTTTGACTTCGTGCATTCTCTAAGCATTTATTTCAGTGAGCTCCACTCAACTATCAAGCTTAGTAAGAATTAATTTTAAAATACGTATGCCACTGTTAGTGGACAAGACTATCTTTCATGTTTAATAATTACTTCGAGTTCCTTACTCAAATAGGATAATTTGGGAATGTTTAAAGTAGATGAAAATAGTCAATCATTATCAGTCTATTTTATGATTTACAAAGTTAACCTTTTAAAATGAATTGCAGGTTATAGCAGCACAAAGTACTTCAAAATATGTGATAACCTGTAATTAAAGTATTACCTAATTCACTATTATCAGTGTTGTTTAAAATGTATTCTCACCCATGACTTTTTGTTGCAGTCACTTGAATTTCTACGTATAGACAGCTGATGCGAACATTGTTTCATCTACATCAGAGTTTCCACTAGCCGAGTTATCAGTTGTTGTTGCTGTTGATTGATAGATCAAAGTTGGTATTGAGAAATTCCACACTTGTCAGATTATCTTTTTATTTATTTTATTACATCTTAGTGTTGTAAATAAACGATATATTTGATTTGATTTTCTTTTTGGTTTTCATTTTCGCTTCGTTTTAGGAAACTGTTGAACAAATCAAAGCACTAGATACTGATCAACCAGTACAAGTAAGTCTTTTAATCCTTATTTGCTGCATGCGTACTACTTGTTTAACGTTAAACTAATGTCCATAAATACACATAAGTGTTTGAGCTATCTTTTAGCCAGTCAGTCAGCACATCCTTATGATTTTATCCATTGTTTTCTCATTTATCGACCAACTAGCTATTAAATGGAGTTGTTACAGCTGGACCAGATGTCCCCAGCATAGATGAGTTGGCAGAGGTAGGCTTGTTTAACAGTTTCCAAAGTACTTTTAAAAAGAGAATTCTATGTCGGTACCGCTATTTTGACATTCGTTCCTAATCGTTCTTTACTCGCTTAATGTGCTTGCGGCTTAACTTTCTAATAAAAAACGTTGGGTATCTGTTCTTTGTATTTAATTAAATCTAATTGTGTAGAGACTTCATGATAACCTGAAGTAACAAGGTGTTTTTGTTTAACATTAATCGTTGGCTATATTTGTTGCTATGATAGTCAAAATCGAAATTGGGTTGTTGCCAGATCACTAGAGGTTTTCGCACGTTTTAATTGTTGGTTTTTGCAGCAGGCCATTTTGCAACCTTACCCAGTTGCGTGCTGTTTCTGAGTTGTCAATTTCACCCTAACATATCCTTTTTGTTTGTATTTTGATGTATTTGTAGTCGACAGAGTGCGTGAAGCTTGAGAATGGTCACAAAGAAGATAAATCAGATGAGGAAGGTAATACCGAAGCAAACGGCAATGTTTGTAATTCAGATACTCCTCAAGAAACAGACAATAAACCATCTAAGAAAGGAAATCCAATTAGCCGAATTTTAAGACGTATATCTAAGAAAACCATTAGCTTTAAGAAGAATTCATGTGACAAAGGTTCTTCGGAGAAACCTGAGGATGTTCAAGATGAAACTAATAAGGAAGAAAATCCTGTGGAGCCACAGTCTCCAGCAGTTGCTGCAGAAAACAATGATATGGAGCCAGTTGTCGATAATTCGGTTTCCTTAGCTGCAGATAAATTAGTTCAAGATGTAATCCTCTCGGCCACTGCTACTCATATGGAAGAAACTCAAGTGTGTGAATCGAAACCCTGTGAAAATGGTGGTGATCATTTTCCTGAGATAAAACACGCCCAAGTAAGTTTCTTCACTTGTCACTCTGATATTGATTAATGAAATGTATGCAACGTATCTGCGTCTTAAAGTACTACTACTTCGAGGAATTTCTCAAATGCTAGTATATTTCGGTACATAAAATCAGTGTGTAATGTGACCCGATAAATTGTGGTAGCTTAGTGTGAAATTTTCTACACATCATGCGTTTTCGATGTTAAACATAAACAGTTACACTCTTTAATTATCCACACATGATGAAAATTTAGGCGTACAATTATTATACCGAACTTTATCTGTTGATGGGAATTAATTGCTCTGCATTGAAAAAATGATACTGTCAAACAGTATGATTTTCTCATACGTTTATCAACACGACTGTTATACAGATTCTTGTGCTATTAATAGGTACAATAAGTTTTGCAACAGGTCATGTGGACTGTGGCTCCAACTAATTATTCCAAACTGTCAGTTTTCAACGACTAATCACGGGGTCTCAACCAATTTCACTTAAATACGTTCTTATAAGCAAAGAGCTTCATCAAGCTTCATCCAATCGACATAGTTCAGTGTTAAGTGAATGATCGTTCATCTGGTAGAGTGTAATCCCACATAACATGAGAGTTGAATAAAAAAGCCCTGGTTTCCATAGTATTTATTTTAATGAAGTCTAAATAAACTAGCTTATTCGGAGTTTATATCAAATTACTTATATGACATTTTTTTTTATCTTCCAGGAATTGTCTTCCGAAGTTGACACCTCATATGTCACTTCTAATGGTGAAGATTCTTACATCAAAGAGGAGCCGGTAGTTGACTGTCAAATGAAATCCGAAGATGTTGTCGTTAATGGTATCCACTCATACAATGGAGAGGTATGTGTATTGTTAGCTAGCTACTTTTATCTATTCATTTTTGCTTGAATTTGTGTCATCCTTTGAGCGCGAAGTGCTCGTCTGTTAGATCTCAGTTACCCACTGCTTGGGTTGATGCTACTGCTACTCATTTGTACAGGCTAAATTAGATGAAGCGTGACTTGAACCTGCAACTGAAAATCGATTGTTTAATCCAAAGTGTGAAGTGTTGGTTTGTGTTTCTCGATACACGTTGCAAGAATTACAGTATCACTAACATTTTTTGTTGTGCTGCAAAATTGGGTTTGTCAGCTACATCGAATAACTAGCATCCAGATAATTCCTATAAAACTCAACGAATGTTACTATTAGGATAAATTGGAATAAATCGGTCCAAATTCGAGTCAGATGACCTCTGTCTTTAAATGGCTTATTGGCATGCCCTATATTATACCAGTCATTTTACCATATCAAGAACTGCCATTGCATTATGACAATACTAATACGTTCAGTTGATTATTTTTTTTACACATATACAGTTATTATACGCTTTCTTGTCCACTGCATTCAGACTGAGAACACAGCATATCCAACTGATTGTGCATCATCTGCTAACCGATTCATAATTGTTGTTGCGATGTTACATAACAGGACTAGAAGACCGGGAAAATTGAGTTAGTTGTAATCAGATATAAGTATAACTTGTCATTGAAGTGGGATGAAGTTATACCAACTAGTCAAATAGTAACTACTATTGGCATAGGAATCCATCATGTTATCACCTATTTGAACATAAAATAAGAGTATAGAAAAAGGTTCATAATACTCGTTGGTTTTAGAGCTTTAACTGAAGTAACATAAATAATCTAATGTAGTCAGTATATTCCCAGAATCTGTATTAACCATTATATGTAACGAAAACAGAGGATCGGTTCAACATACTCAATACTTTTATCCTGGCGAGGATAATATTTTGAAGATTTTATATCCCTTGAGTTGATGTTTATTCATTGAAAATCACTCATTAGCCAGTAATACTTGTTTGCTAGACTGAAATGGCCTACACCATACACGGCTGAGTTTGTCAACGACCTGTCTGAGTTAGTTCAAACCTCCAGGTTTCTGACCACTGATTTTGTCGAAGTGGTTTACGCGCAGAGTTGAATTCATCATTTCGGAAGTCACCACGATGTGCTCTGTAAGCCCAAAAACGTGGCAAGATATTCACTCTCTTGATTATCATCTTAAGCAGATCCAGTATTCAAATGTAAGTATTTTAGATTTCTGTAGGAGAACATGGTAATCTTCTGCGTCAGTCTGTTTAATTTGCAAATGATGAATTTCTCAATAATTTATTTTGCAACTAAAGTTTACCTGACTTCACGCATTTGATTATGTAGTTATGTTGTTTATAATCCCTCAATGTGTTATTTTTATTCAGATGGAAGAATTAAACAGCAACAATACCAATGTACACAATGATGATAGCTTGATCCAGTCAAAATTAGCAAATCTTGAATTAGTGAATGGACATGCTGAAGTCAATGGATTCCATTGTGAGACGACGACAACAACAGACTCAGTGGTAGTTGCCAACAACTATTGAGAGAGAGAGAAAGAGCAACATCATCATCATCACCACCACCATGTAACATCTATTTTGTTAAGTGACTTTACCAATTTATCTCACAAATCAATATTATTTTCCATCTTTCTGTAACAAAATTGATTGTCTTTTGTTTTGGATATTCGTTTCCCGTATATTATTATTTTGTTTCAATACCTTTGGGACGCCTGAGACGTCACCGGAAAAAATTGGGTAAGAACTTCCTATTTTAACTTAAACTTTATCAACTGTAAATTTTATGAATCACAGTAATCTATCCAGGATAAGGGAATTTGTTAAGCAAAAATAACCTGTTAACATCTGACAGAAATATGTTAGTGTTTTGTCTCAGCCATTTAGACGTTCCGTTTATCTATAACTTATTCGACTGTTTATACGTCGGCTTAACTGTCGTTACCACCGCAGTGTTAAGACGCCTTTAAGCTTTTAGGTTTTCTGTATATCAGGCTTGAATTTCTTCCAACGATACGTGTCCCTTGTCACGTAAAGTAAGTCACTGTTTCGCTTCAGTTATAGTTAAGAGCCACGTGGTTATTTTAGAAACTTCGAGCATAGCAGGACTAACTGTCGTTACTAACACTGGGACGTTGTCAACACAATCTTCGATGTGTATTCCTAAACGTCATTTTGTAGATACCTTGCGTATATTAACGGTTGAAGCATCCACCAGTTTCATTTCCATATTTATTACGCATGTAGTCATATATGTCAGTGATAGGTTTGCTCTTCAAGCTTCAGTTTTCAGATACATCGTATGTTGCATATTACTTACTCACTGCCTTCCCACTTTTTATTTTAGTGTCATTTGTTAACAACAACCTGAGTGCTGTCTTCGTCCGCGTGTTTTGGTACAATAATATATTTGTATTCATCACATCACGTTTTTTTCATAATGACCCAATTTTCAAAAGCAATCATGGCCAATAACTTTTATCCCTTCTAATATTGTATCTGTAAATTTCTATTGAGGATTACAATAATGGTCTTTTTTAAATGTGTGTATGCGTCGACTTCAATTTTTTTAAACACTAATATTGACAATTTTCCTACTTGGTTTTATTTCATACCATTTCTACTTGTTTCTTCGAAAATAAACTGCTTTTGGGTTGCTTATAGTAGAGACTTCTCGCGTATGTATTTTACTCCCTTTCTCTCTCTATATATATATTTTTGTTTTGCCTTCTCAAAATCACATCAGATCGTTAAGATCTGGTCACGTATATGATCTTTGAAAAATAATATTTCCATTGACAATCTCAAATTCGAATTCTTTCTTTTAGAATGACGACGACGCTTCTATTTTATTCAAAAATAATGTCACCTTGATTTATTCACTATTAATTTTGAAATGTACGAAATACTTTAAAGAATTTGTGTTTTTTCTTTTTAAATCTTCATTGCTTATATTCGATTATTTGGCTTTAGAGTATGTTAGCTAATGCCTATTAAATTTCATCACATGCTTCTTGGTTGGATTAGCTTAGTATCAGGTCAGCGAATCAGTTAACGAATAAATGGAAGTTGACTAGAAGTCTATCGCATATACTTCAAGATTCGTAAAGCGGGTGTTATGAACTTTTTAAAGAGAGATGATTAGTAAAACGTCGTCTTTCAACTTTCTGAATCGTTGTTTACAGTTCTAGTCTAGTCGTTCACCTCAAAAGTATATGAATACCTACTAACAGGAGACAGTTGACATAGATCCTTTTCGGAACGCATAATGACGGAGTTCGTTTCCATTAGGCGGGAAATGGAAGCTTTTAGCTCTAGGTCTTTCTTTCCAATATGTTAGGGTAACAACTTATCTAATCGGCAGTGCTCACTGATATAAGTGTAAGACTTGGGCATTGTGGTAGAGTATAATTCCATTATAGATAAGACTTTATTTTGATAAATCACACAGTGTTATTCACTGATGACGTTTTGAGCACAAATTATTGCTCATAATCATATCAAGGTACTCACACAACTTTTTTGCTTCGCTTATATACATGGGTAGAAATTGATTAGACATCTGAATGTAATAAATATACGAAAAAGTACATTCAGAAATAATATTAGTATTATCAATCAGATGGGAAATAAGGTGTTTTTATAGTAAAAATAAGTAACTTGTTAGAACGTTATAATGTGAATTGAAATACATTTTAACATTATTTGTTATTCTTCAATTTGACTGGTAATAATATCTTCCATATCTCTGGTATTAGCGGTGATGAATTGTGGTGAGAGCTGTCTACTAGCCAAATTGGTAGACAGTAATTTACGTCAATATTTACGTTCCCAAGATTTGTCGTGAGAAAATGTGAACAAAGATTGATTCAAAACCGACCACAGCAGACTTTGCGTAGGCGGATGCAGTTAACAGATAGAGGATTTGACATTCAAGAAACAGTCACAAATAGATGAAAGATTAACTTTACGTGAGAAACAACCAATCGGAAGACTGTGTTTGTTTGTTTAAATATCCATAGTAATGTACATGAAAATATATAAAAATGCGTTGATTTCCTTAATAAATGATCTGTTGCCTGACTCTTGCCTTCTGTCGTTACAGTATCACTTCTAATGCATGTGTTGCATGTAGACTCGATGAACCAGGATTCAGTAATCAATGTCTCTCTCTCTCCACCTACCTATATTACTTTTTAGAATTTTAACCCTTTCCCACCCTATTGTGTGGTTGTGTGTTAATGCACAATAAATGAAGAAGTTGATAACAATATTTCTTCTATTATTGACAAAACAAAGTGGGTAATCAACCTGTCTCCAAGAGAATTAAGCTCTAGTGAGGTAAAACTACTTGAAAAAGGATTAAATTTCAATGTAACGGTTAGCAAACTAAAACCATATGTCATCCCTAACATAGAAGTAGCATTAAGTTTAATAGATAAGACGACAGCAGAAGACGTTCGAACTCAATGTGCATTAACTCTTAAGAAACAAAAGAAAGCACAGTCAAACTTAACAAAATCGGAAAGATTAGCTCTAATTAATCTTAAAAATGATAAAAACATCGTCATCACAAAAGCTGATAAAGGAAAATCTACAGTAGTTTTGGATAAATCTGATTATATAAAGAAAATCACTGAACACATTGAAACGGGTCCATATGAGGAAATTAAGAAGCCTGTAGATACAGTAATGAATAGGACTAAGAAATTTACAGCGGATTTGATACGTAGTATGAAGCTGTTACTAGATGAGTCTAAACAGTTTAATTTAATGCCTAAACGCTAATAGAATATACTGTACTATAAAAAGACATAAACCAGGTTACCCCATAAGACCAATAGTAGATTTCAGAAATACACCAACATGAATTATCAAAACACAGCTCTGATACTATGTCCCATTAGAAATCATTCAAACTAATTCATATGAAATGAAAAGGAAACTAAATGACATTCAATTACAGAATAATGAAAAAATTGGTCATTTTTGATATAACTAGTCTTTACACTAATGTATTAATCAATATGGTCTCAGAAGCAGTTAAAAGAGAACCAACAGCTAATTTCGAACTTGGTCATAGGACAAAGCTGCCCATTGAGAAAATTATTTTAGGAATCCAGTTATGCCTGACATCTGTCTTTTAATTCTAGGGCAAAATATATAAACAAACAGATAGTGTAACTATGGGATCACCAATATCCCCTATCGTAGCAGATATATTTATGGACATCTGGGAAAAAATTGCTCGAAATCCATTTAATCCTACTCCAAAAATACAGGTGGTGATATGTGGATGACACTTTCACAGTGATGACTTCGTCGAAAAGAAAATTTTCTTCGCTGCAATTGTCTTTTTAATAACTCCTATGACCCAATTTGTATATTCCGTGATTTAAAAACATATCATTTGATACCAAATTATTTAGTAAAAGTCTCCCAGACGCTTAAGTTAGGTGTGGTTCAGGTTATTTCGATCACACTATCAGGAAGTACTGATTGACGCGAGTGCTTCCCGACTGTTATCAGTTAACAGGAGAGATCGTCTTGTGATCCTGCAAGCACTCCAACAGTTCGATATTTTGTGGTTTGAACACTTGGGGTTTCAAAAAGGAAGGTGACTTTTCGCTTAGAACTATGCAGTTTGCAGGAGAGGAATTTTTATTTAAGTTAATACGGGGCTTTTTATAATCGATCACTTGTAAATACTTGTTTATACTGATTCACTGAATGTATTTGGATGGTTATTTAATCTGAATAATAAACTTATAACTTCAAATTATGTGTATGCATATTCGATGAAGAGATTACACAATAATGAGTCGATATGAAATACAATTATTTACATAGAACTTAAATATTTATATTCAAATGTTTGTATCATAACTAGACTTTTAGAAGGTCTTCATTTCAAACTGGTTGAAAATTCACTGAAAGTGAATTGTCGCATTTAGCCAGTTGAAGTAGCATGTGAAAAAGATTCTGACTGACTTACGTGAAAAAAGAGGCCTTAAGACGAAACTAGTACAGAAATTCTATTCCCAGTCTTAAATATACTTATTACGGCGTAAAATTTTCCAGTAAAATTTTGGATATTCTCCATTCTTAATGCAGCTTATGAGAGTATCAGAATCTGCTATCTATGCGAGTATATTGATTTAAATAGCATGAACATTGGCTTACCAACTGAATATCTTAAACAACTATTATTGAGATGCACACTGAATGTGCAATTCAGATTTAATGATGTCATCTACAATCAAAGGAATGGAGTCGCCATGGGGTCTCCTTTAGGACCGCCCTTAGCGGACGTCTTCATGGCAAGCTTAGAGAATGGCCCACTAAAGGAAACCATCGGTAGTTTGTTTATGTATAAAAGATATATAGATGATACCTTCATTGTCTGTGGTGAAAACTCTTCAACTGCCGAACTTCTTGGAATATTTAATGGTTCTCACCCATCTTTGCTTTTCACGGTCGAAGAAGAGTCGAATTCCTCGTTTCACTTTCTTGATGTTAAGCTAGATAGAAGAGAGAATGGAACGCTGTTAAGGTCGATTTACCGAAAGCCAACATTCACTGGGCAGTACACTAACTTCAACAGTTGGGTACCTTTAGGGAGAAAGAGAAATCTTATTCATTCCTTTTGCTCCAGAATTCGTAAAATCTGCTTTACAGAGACAATCGATGGTGAACTAGATAACCTTCGATCATATCTCCTTAACAATAGTTATCTTACAAGGTTTATTGAACGTACCATCAAGGAAGAATCCGCTCCTAGACAAATCACAGTGCCAAAGAAAAAACTGTTTGAGTCTTGCATTCAAAGGTGACACCATTTCTGAATTGATTAAAAATCGTTTATCTAAATGTATTAAACGTACTTTTCCTGCAGCTGACTTGCAACTAGTTTTTACCAGCCGAAATATGATTAGACAATGCGTCAAGGATAGATTACCGCTTACGTCCACATCTATGTGCATTTACTCTTTTACCTGCTCTTGTGGAGCTGTTTATATTGGACGTTGTAAGCGTAATCTCCGAAAACGTGTAGTTAAATATACTTATTGAATATCTGATTGGTATGTTTTAGAAATGCTAAATAGAACAGGTTAGCCGACAGTTTAATAAGCACATAAAACCTGCATTCAGCAGTGGTTGCCAGCTTGCAATGTCCAAATAGTTTTGAAATGAAATGTAATCCAGCACAGTTTCTTAGCAAAGATGAACAACTGGGAAATGGTGACTGGTTGATTACTCGCTGAACCATAAGTAGCTAAATAAACGAGTCGTCACGACAGGTTCATTATTGTCTAAATCGCTGGTTCATTCAGCTAACTGTTTTCATATGGATCACGGAGGTCGCGACGTTATTTTTATCTTCTTGGAACCTGGTAACCACTAATCAGACGTTAGGTGACTATTCCACTATTTCTTGAATCCTGAGAAAATATGCATTAAGAACCATCAAAGAGATCTCTTTTCGTAATTTCACTTCAATGCTGTACAATTACTTTGGTGTGTGCATGTGTGTTATTATATATACAGTGTTAGTCAACAACAAAGGTCAGAGGTTATTGTCAGTTAGTAACAACGTGAATAAAGTGAGTAAAACTAATGCTTGAATAATCGTGGATAAAGTCTGACCACGAACTGATATCAGTTAGAGGACCACTGAAAACCAGGGCGTTCTGGACAGCTGTTTCTTCCTCGTTTGCGACTCATCGGCTAGTGACTGGTTACAGGGAGAAGTTGCTAAAGAGTTCTAGTAAGAAGTCGTGATCAGTGGGGTCCATCCTGTTGGGAGTCAGGACGAATACTCGCCGAGGACATTAGATGGTGGTCGCGCTAAAATCACTAATTCAGTCAGGCTCTAGTGGCTGAATAGTTTAGGAGCTTGCTTTGTGAAGAGAAGGTCCTGGGTTCGAATCCTGGAGGTGCGTACTGCCACTGAGCCTCAAACTAGGACGAAACAGCTGTTCAGTACCCCCTCGTTTTCAAGTGGTTCTCTAACCGAAGTCAAACTTGAAACAAACCAAATCCCTACAAACTCTCTCTTGCAAAT